TCATGGATGCGATGCACTTGTGTGTGTTGTATGTTCTCTTTAATCCTCAATTCTTCTACTCCTTTCTTAAATGATCCTTTTAGATTATAATTTCTTGATTTGTAATTTAGTTCGAGGCTTTAGCTTTTGGAAGCAATGTTATGTGTGGAAGAAATACATTTTGGTTTCGGGTGATTTCAGGTGTTCCATTTTATGGTGCCACATGGGAACAATAAGTAGTCCTCTTTTCTAATTTTTGCCATTTTCTTTAAAGAGACTGTTGACATGTCATGTTCCAGCTATTTCACCAACACCCTAATCCTTCCAGTAGTAAATGGGCCTACATTGGGTCTCATGCTCACACATATGGCACATTTCTTTACATCTATAGTTGGTATTTAATGTAATATTTTTCTTTTTATCCAATATTATATAAATTATTTTCTTAAACGATAGAATCATTAGCTATATCAGAGATGATTTTAAAAAATATTTACATGCATATTTTGACAAGATCGAAGTTGAAGATCATTTAAACATTTTTAATTCTACTTTTTCCAAAGCCTCTACTCATTTCATGGTAATACTTCACTACCTGAATATAAATTCAATAATTGATTGAGAGCTTCAAAAAACAAACACTTGATATGCTTTAAATACCAAGAAGAATGTGAAAATGCAGAGACGTCACCACAAAAATAATATGCTCATGGTAAGTTATGTATTCATTTTTTCTTAAGTAGGTTTTCATGTTTTTTTCTTCTATATATATATATATATATATATATATATATATATATATATATATATATATATATATATATATATATATATATATATAATGTTAAGATTTTTGTGTGGATTAATTTGTGTTATTAATTTGAAGATGTGTGTTTTCATCAAAGTGACAATTAGATTTTGTGTTCTTTCTATTTCTATAACAACAATATGCTTTAAAAAGACTATCAATTTATAGCATGTTACTTACATTATGAATCAAAATATGAAGCTATAAATGGATATGTTTTTGAAATGTCAACAAATCAACTGATATAAGTATCAACTACTCATTTTATTACGTTTGTAATGGTTCGTTGATTGGTTTTCCATATCTTCCAGCAATCCAAGCTAAAAACTACATATTTACTAATGGATGTATGTTTATTTATATATTATATTTATTTGGAATGAATGGACAAAGGAACTAACCCATTAGCAACCCCTTATGTTTCTCACAAGTACAAACCCTAGGTTCTTAAATTTCTTCAAAATGAATGAACTTTTTATTTATTGGTGACTCATCTACTAACTCATCTACATTATCGTGTGTAGATCGTGTGTATAAAGCCATTAATACATTATCTATATCAACTCATCTACTAACTCAATTTACAATTGGTGTCATGGCTTTATAGGAACACACTTATATTTGGCTAGTAATAAGGACAATGTATAATATTTGTTACATAACTCCTATTTTATGTGAAGAAATACAAGTACATTGCTATTATGAGAAAAAGTATTGCAAGGATGTTGCAACTATGTGTATAGAAAGGTGAGTACATTATTATTATGGGTAAATAAATACAAAAAAAAATCCAACCCGTGCAACGTATATGTCTTTTTAATAGTTATGATTAATTTATTAAATGTCAACTAAGCATTTCATCTTATTCAATCATTTTATTAAACTATGTATTATATATATACATATGTCCTCTTAATACCAAGATCGCCATGCATTACATTCCTTCATTTTCATTAATATATAAACAAAATATGCAATTCTAACTCTCTATCTATATATTCATCACAATGAATATTCTGAAAATTAACCCATCCCAATCATTGAGCCTAGATGGATCCCATATCATAGAAGACTTTTTGATAAAGACATCACTTAACATGGCATGTGAGACCAATGTTTTTAGTGCCGAAACAAAGACATATGATATAAAAATTCACCAAAAAAGAGAAACATCTCATCTTTAAAGACTCCATGTTGTTTGATGGTATGATGTTACGAATGAGTACTTCAATTATCTATGTTTTATAGATTAATAAGAGGTCACAAACTTAGTGCATTAATTTTTTTTTTTTTTTTACAATAGATATGAATTAATATATTACTAATAATATTGTATTTTTAAAAGAAAAAAATAACTTGTGAATTCTTTTGAACTTGTTTTTGAACTCAATGAATCAAGCATTAATGTATTTGTTTTCAATGTAAATCACTTATTTGCGCGTTTTGAGTAAGGCAATTTGCGAAACCGTATAATAAATATCGATAAAATAACACCTCTCATAATTACTTTTTTTCTTCTAAAACCCCAAAAAGGATACGTCTCCCCCTTCATACATTTTACTATATATAAATCTGAAACAACCCATCTTACATGCTTCACCATGCATAAGTCTCCCGTCTCTTACATTTTCCACAAAAAGTGAACTTTGAATCTGAAAACGAATTTCGAAGAAGTCATTGTCAAATTGAAGTTAGCTTTTGGAGCCTTTTCAAAAGATTATCAGTAAGAAATACTCTTACTCTTAACTAATATTGACAAATGCTATCACTTATAACTAACTTCATTCGATATTGACTTTAATTTGTCTCAATCCTATGATTCTTGATAGAACAATGGAACCATCAAGATTCCTTCTTCTGTTATGTATGTGGATGGTGATGTTGAAGTCACGTGCTGATCTCCCCGGCACGTGGGAACTACTGGTGGACGACGCCAGAATCGCCTCCATGCACACCATCGTTACCCGGTTCAACACCGTCGTCCTTCTTGACCACACCAATTACAGCCCTAATTCCAAAGCTGACTGCCAATTAGACCCGGAACATCCGGTTTTCAAACCCGACTGCTATTCCCAATCTTCCATTCTCGATCTTACAACCAAAAAGGTCCGACCATTGTTCACCACCCTCACCGACACATGGTGTTCTTCCGGACAGTTTATGCCGGACGGAAGCCTCCTGCAAACCGGCGGCTTCAATGATGGGTTCCAAAAGATACGTAAGTTCACCCCATGCGAGGGTATAGAGTCTTGTGATTGGGAAGAACTTGATGATAAAGTGTTAGCAGAAGGTAGATGGTATGCAAGTAATCAAATACTACCCAACGGATCAGTGATCATCGTTGGTGGTCGTGGCGCCAATAGTGTTGAGCTTTTTCCATCACAAGGCGGCGGAGCTTTGAATTTCCCATTTCTTGCGGAAGCAGAAGATATCCAGTCCGATAATATTTACCCCTACGTTCATCTTCTTCCCAATGGTCACTTGTTTGTGTTCGCCAACAATATATCAGTGTTATACGATTACACGAACAACGTTATACTGAAACGATACCCTGCATTGCTCGGTGGCCCACGTAATTACCCCTCCGCAGGGTCATCGGTGATGCTTCCATTGAGAGGGGATTACCTTACAGCCACCGTCGTCATCTGTGGTGGAGCACAATATGGAGCATTCCATGAACGGAAGACTAATGCCACAGCTCGCAGGAGCTGCGCTCGGATCGAAGCAACCGGAGAAGACCCAGTTTGGGAATTGGAAGCGATGCCATTTGCTCGGATTATGGGAGATATGGTGATTCTTCCTGCCGGTGATGTTTTGATTATAAACGGAGCAGAAGCAGGTAGTCAAGGGTTTGAATTAGCAACAAAACCTTGTTTATATCCAGTTCTTTATAAACCAGATGAATCCAAGGGTCTTCGTTTTGTGACGTTAACCCCTACTTCAGTGGCTAGAATGTATCACTCAACGGCTAATCTTCTTCCCGACGGGAGGGTTCTTGTAGCCGGAAGTAACACACATGATTTCTACAACTTAACAGCTGAGTTCCCTACAGAACTAAGGATCGAAGCTTTTTCGCCGGACTATTTGACACCGGAGAAAGCTGATGTTAGACCGACAATCGTCGAGTTGCCGGAAAGGATACAGTACGGCGGAGGTTTCGATATATTGGTGAGTGGGAAGTTTCTGGAGGTGAGGCTGATGGAGGTGAATATTGCGAGTGCACCTTTTGTTACACATTCTTTCTCACAGGGGCAGAGGCTAGTGAAGCTAATAGTGACAGTGTCAGCGGCGGAGGATCCGGAGGATGAAGTGGGGTTGTATAGATTAACATGTACGGCGCCACCGGACGGAAGGGTAGCACCGCCGGGATATTACATGGTGTTTGCGGTTAACATGGGTGTACCAAGTGTCGCAAAATGGGTGCAGTTGCTTTAATGGTAGCTTGGAGAATCATGAGTGGATAAACTGAATTAGGGTTTTGATTTTGACTTTTTTCAATGTGAAGTATCTTCTTGGTACGTAGATTGAGACAGGATAAAATAATTATTTCTATTTTAAAGTCGTTATATTGAGTTTCTAAATGTTAGTAAGAATGATTATTGTATATACATAAACAAATACGTGCATTACACACCTATTTTTTTGTGGATTGTGGAGTTTTCATCGTTCACCCTATCAACGGTTTATAAAAAATGAGCATGTATCATGTATGATGGATATACGTTATAAAAAATCTGAAATAATTCCAAAACTCTGTTTCGAATAGCATTTTGAATTCTTTAAAGGTGGATTTGTAATAATCGCAGTATTTTGTGGTGAACCAAGTTAGTTCTAAACTTAAAATATCATCGATTTGTAGTTAAGAAATAATAAAAAAGCGTTGTTTGAAATGACAGCTGCAATCCAAAATGTGATGAACATTTCCTAAATGTGTATGTTTTATTTAAAATACGTGTTTTATTTGGTTATGTAATTATTATAACACCACTTGCAAGGACCTAGAAAAAATTAAAATGAGTATTAAATAATTGGGGTTTTTAACCATAAAGTCCAAGTCGAAGTATTACTACTTTTATTAAAATAAGTCTTGAAAGGAACATCCGACCACTTCATAACCTTCGCGCCATATCATACTAGCCACCTCATCTTCATAGGGTCAAAAACACAGCATTGTTCCTCTACTACCAAAGCATCTAAATCGTAGTTAAAGATAATGACTTCCAATGCCTTATTCTTCAAAGCTGATAAAGTGATCATGTCCACCCAAGAAAGAAGTTCTCAAATGTTAATAAATAAAGGGAAAGGAAGATCATACCACTTCACAACCTTCAGCGCTAGCATATCTTACTAGTTGACAAACACATTTTTCTTAACATCTACATCCAAAGAACAAGTACATAAGACTGTAGGAATATTTGCACCTCTATCCACCAAATTAACTCTAGTAAATCCTATCACAAAGAGCACGCCAAAGAAAAACATTTAATTTAGCCATGACATGTCATCGATGATCTGTGTAAGTGGCTAAATGGGTCAACGACGATGGTTTCTTCTACAAACATCTCAAACGCCCCCATCTTGATTCCACCAGCACATCGGCTGATCCGCTTCCGGATCTTGCAGCTGAAGCGAAAGCACGCACCGAAAGAAAGAAGAAGGTGCTATTAAAACTCAAAACCAAGTATCAGCAAAAGATCCACCATTGGGAACATTTGCCGAACACCTTGAAAGCATTGCAAAACCGTATGCAAAATCAACCATCGCCCATGGTACTATCAGATCAGACGGTCTCCGTTTTGCCGGAAAATTCGTCAAATTCTCCTTTCCAGGATCTTACCGACACACTATTTGCTCAGGTATTGGCCCACCCTTCAATAATTACCGTATTTGGATGTTGGATTGTTGATGTCGTTACTTGTAGAATTCAAAACTACAACTGATTTTCTTGCCCAGTTTCCACCAATAATCTTCTATTTCTAGCCCTGAATTCACGGTTGTTGAGGCGGGCGGTGATGTTTGATGGCACATCGAGGCTGTGTTTTGATTCAGGACAGACGTGTGGGAGGAGGAGAGAGAGCGGGGGTAGGGTAGTGATCGGAGCTGGAATCCCTTGGTTGTATGCGTTATTATCATCTAAATCTCGTTGATACGTTAGTAGACCCCTTGATTCTTGCGATTTTCTCTTCTTTATATTATCCTTTGATTTTCATTATAACCAGCTCATGAATTAGCAGGCAGATGAAAACGGGATACAGAGGATAAAAATTATTCTCTTTTCAATTGTGAAATCTAATGAATTTATTGTAAAAGAATAGGTATGGACAATGGTAAATTTACTATGTAAACGAATGAAATTCAATAGATATAGAAAAAATATTTATTAGATATATTTATTAGATGTTAGTGTTTGGGTAAACTCTTTGAGAGGAAAGTTGAGAGGAAGAAGACGATGGTGGATGTGTGGTAGATTGTGTTCTTGGGAGAGAGAGAGAGAGAGAGAGAGAGAGAGAGAGAGAGAGAGATGTGGGACCAAGGGTAGGAAAAATTAAAAGTCAACATCAAAAAATTTGTCAACAAATGTTAACCCGATGACCCCTTCAATTCTTCCAAAATGACCTAATAGACCCGACAAAAATGAGTTCGTTCCCTTATTAGGCTAAAAAATAAGTTAAGTGGCTAAATAGGTAAACCTTAAAAACATTATAGGGTCTATATGTCATTTTCCCCAAATACTTTTATTAAAATCATACTCATAAAGTAACCATGCACTCACTATACATGGTATACATTTAATCTTACAAGTAATAAATACCTTTATGAAAATCATGTTCTTGAAAGTAACTACAGACTCATTTGATTAAAGGTGAGAGATTTGCAGATAAGTTTGCTCTTTGTCTAAGACTTTTGCTTTCCCTTTTAAACGACCTAAATACAAATATTACTAAGTTTTAGTATTCATTTGTATTTATAAGGCTATATTAACTATTTCCCAGATTCTTTACTAATCCCAAAGAATACAAAGTTCTGTCAAATAAGGAATGACCAGGTAAGATCATATTGGAGGTAGGATCCGTTTGGTATATATAAATATACTGTTTGAAAAATCTATTTTAAACATCTCACTAAGAGCTTGCCTTGGCACCACACTCGTAAGTAAATCAATCAATATTATAACTACTATTACTGATAGATTTTATTTATAGTTTCATAACAGCGACAATGAACAAAAATATAAGTTACACTTAACAAGCATACTAAGTGAAAATCACCTTACGAGATCGACTAGCGAAAACTCAGCAGTTTCGCGAGCGTAACTTTGAAGCGATTCCTTCTTTTAGAATGATTCTCCAACACTCTAGCTCTTCGTTAAACGACTTGAAAAGAACGAAGAAATCAAATCAGGAGGGACTGAAAATTTCTAGGGTTCAAAGAGAAACTCGATGGGAATTAGCAAGGAATGAAGCAGAAGCAATCGAGCTATTTATAGAAAAAAAATCTCGAAAAGCACGACGTGGTAGCTGGGCCTAATGAGTCTTCAGCTGCCATGTGGGAGCCCCTGGTTTTGCCACGTCACTTCGTGATAGGTGGGGTTGAGAGCTCTCTTGTTGCCAGGTAAATTCTCATTTCTTCGGATAATTATAACTTTCGCATGCGAGTTCCGTTTTCAACGTTTTTTATCCATGGTTTCGTAATTTCTTATATTACAACTTTCATTTAGATCTTAACAGTTAATTCACAATCTATTTTCATTTTGTACTTTATAATGAATATACAGTGAATGATCTTACGAAATTCATAGAATTCTTCATACGATTTATGTTCTTGACATTCTTTATATCCACAAATTTGTATTTAAGTGTACTACAACTTTCCTTTACATTACTTTGGCTTAAAAGTAACATATTTTTGTTTTGTATTTTATAAGAAATATTGTTTCAATAAATAACATTGAAAAATCATAACTTCTTCATGCGACATCAAATTTTCGCATTCTTTATACTCATAGATTCGTATTCACGACTAATACAACTTTCATATATATTATTTCATTATTTTATAAAAGTAACTTCAAATATTATTTATATACAATAACAGTTATATAAACAAATATCAACGTATTGAGAATTCTCACTTATTTAATTATAAGAAAATTTACATTATTAACTATAACTAAAGATGCTTCTACAACACACTTAATTATAAAACACATGCGTTACAAACCAGGTTGCAAATATTAGCAACATAATAACGACATACTTATCTTTTTTACGAATAATAAAAACTTACTTATCTTTTTTTCGAATAATTGTAACATATTTATCCAAAAAAAAACTACATACTATATTCTAAAGTAGAATCTTATACTCGAAATAAACAGAATGTTTATGAAATTGGATAAATAGTATGGTGTAATAATTTGAGCGAACAAGAAACCATAGTTCCTTATGGTAGTTAAAATTGATACGAAAGAGTAAAAGAAATTAAAAGATCAAGTTAATATACTTGAATGCAAACACTATCAACGAAGCGTAATCAGGTGGATATTAACCTTTCTTTTATAGAATTCGTAAATATAGTTTGGATTCAGAAACGTAAATGTTCAATCAGTTATGCTTCTTCCTTGGGGAACTCCATCGTATAAAATTTCCCAAAATTGCGCTTTGTTAAACTCTCATCATCGTCAACAACCTCCCCACCACTTGATTCATCGGTATGTGACGCATCTCGGTGAGCTACGTCGGTACGTGACGGAGGTGCATCGTAAGGAATATTACCTCCGGCGGCGTTTGAAATTTCGCCCTCGCGTACCATATATCCAATCGATGGCGCTTGTTCGCTATTGTCAAAGATGTCACTACGCTGATCTGGAAACTGATGATGCTTGATCGAGATCTCTTGTCTTCCTATCGCCATATCCCCAATCGAGACTGGTTGAACAACATCGTCAGCTTGAGGTGTCGAACGATCGATATTCATGGCTTGAAGCAACTGATTATACTCAGACGACTGTGATTGATCTTCCATGGATCGTATATCTGAGATTGATGGAGTATTGTACTGGGTTTCTTCGAACTGGTAAGGTTCATTGAGTGGAGGTTGTTGCTGATCAAAGTTCCGTACAATCGCCGATGAAATTGAGGGTGGCGCGTCCATTTGTTGAGAAGAAGTTGGGTGTTTGAGTGTGAAGTGCAGGGAGTGAAAGGAGATAATGGCCACCTTTATAGACCTCGTACGGAAGGAAAAAAATCTATCGTTCATTAATTAATGAGATATAACCTTTTTAATTTTTTTTATATACTTAAGATTTCTTTTAAAATAAATTTTGATTTTTAACTTTTTTTTTTAAAATGCAAAAAGTAACCTTAAAATGTTTAGCCGATGAAAAAGATCTTCTAAAAATAACTTTTTATATTTATGGAAAAATTGGTTCTTAAAAAGTCAGAAAACCCTATTTTTTGTGATTTTTACAACTTTTAACCAAAAGTTACTCTTAAAGCTAATACAAATATATGAACTTTTTTTTTAGAAAAAATCACAAGTCAAAAAATCATTTTACAAAAAGGATTTTTAACTTTAAAAAGTAATCCAAACATTCTTTATAGTATTATACAAACACCCCTTATAGTATTATACTCCAATGAGTCCAACCGAATATATATTACCTTTTTAATTATTTTTAATGATATTAATGTTCATGATTTATTATTATTATTAGAGAAAGTAGTAAATAGCCTTTTTCTAAATGACATGCCAAAAAATAACCCAAACTTTCATTTATTTTCATTGTAGCTATACATTTCGTAGTGGATTTGATGAGAGATAATGTGAATGTGTGACCACTGTGAAATTAGAAATACACTTTTGCTCTTCATGTTGCTAACTACAAAATGGGCCCTAGCCTAAAACATGAAAAATAAGTACTAAAAGATTGTTTTTCACTTTTTTGTACTACAAGATTGTTATTTGTACCATGAAACTTTTTATATTTTGACGAAAATCATGATTTGTTTTTATCAAGAAAACGTTTTTTTGTAGTTCTTTTGTGGTATGTGTCTACAAAGACCATTTTTACATTAAAAGGGCTTCATATTCTGAACACAAAGTGTGAGGTTGAGAAAAACTTAATAAAAAAAGTGTGTAATGTGGACAAAAAAAAAAAGTCGCAACAGGTGCCACAAAAACGATTATTTAAAGGTATCAAGATTCTACTAAAACAAGAGCAACATACTGTTCGAATTCCTTCAAATAACTACGCTAATTGTATTTCATAGCGAATATCGCATTTTACAATAGTGATCAAGAAATGTGGCAATTTTTATGAATATGAGAAACTTTTGGTTAATTTTTAGCAAAAAGTGATTGCTTCAAGTGTTTTTTTGTTTTGTTTTTGTCTTTTAATGAGAAGTGATAGTCACCGTTAACATGTCTTTTAATAATGACTTTTGTCGCATGGAATTTTGGAATATATAGCTGGAAATGAAATGCATCTACAGTCAATGTAGCTTTACAAATGAAAGAGACGATCTTTGAAAGTGTGGAGTGGGAATCGACTTTTTTTTTACAAATTGAAGGTTGATGAACGAAAAAGAAAAGAATATATGCTAATTTTTATCGTACTTTATTGAGTGGAATTGTGAACACCAACAAAAACCTCATGGCTGGTGTCATGAAAGACAACGTCATGTAGTAATATGTAACAACACGAATTATTATCATCATAAAGTTCCTTTAATTTTTAAAAATATTGAAAAAGCTACCAAAAGACCAAAAATATATTTGATTTTTCAGTAAGGCCCAATCTGAGCCGGTTAACAGAGACAGTGTTTTCATTTCATAGGCCAAAAACACTAATTACGATTATCTTATACTCTTAGACAGATCTGCACATTTGCGGTCTCAGGTGAGTCTCGAAACGGTCACGTCTGGTCTTAGGCCGATCTTTTTTCGGTACGGTCTTTTTCGATCTGTTCTTTTGGGACCAATCTCACGGTTTTTCCGTGCACCTTTTTCGGTCGGTTTTCGAGTTTTTTCGATCAGTTTTCGAGTTTTTTCGGTCCAATTTTGGTATTTGTTAGTTTTTTAAGTTTCGGTTTCGAGTTTTTTCCTTAACAGTTGTGTGATCAATACAAAAATAATAGATTAAAATTACTAAAATTGATACACTATATTTTTTAAAAATAAATAAATAAAAAATAAAGTTGGATAGTGTGTGATTTAAAATTATGTAATTAACATGGGTCTCTTTTTTAGTGGTTTTTCTTTAACCCAATTTAAAAATGTTGTTATAACAAGTTTGATATGTCCTATAAAATGTGATTATATGTAAGTATATTAATGATATGTTGATATTTTGTACTAACCAGATTTAGTGGATAAAACCAATAAACGTTTATTGTCTATGAAGCATATAGGGGAGGTAGATGTAACCTTTTTTTTTTTGGAAACCGCAGATATATTATAAGAAAGGACCCTTAACTAGCAAGTAACTAAATGAGGGACCAAAAGCAACATACAAATAGTTAAGACTATTACAAACTGATAAATGGAAAGACTAACCATTCGTCCCCAGTTACAACTTGCATTTTTGCCCTTGTTTTTACACCAAAAAAAGACCATAGTCTTAATGCATTCAGTATCGTGAGTTGATGATATACCCTCCATTTGAAGCAGTTGTTTGTTCTTGAACCGGCATAGATTCCATAACATATTACAACTAGTCTTTTCCTTTTCTTCAGATAGCTTCCCCATGTGGCTACAACATGAAGAATGTCTTTGGTACTCCTTATTGAGTTTTGATCAAACTTTACCCCATACCAGCTCATAATGTTGTTCCTGATCGTAGACACGAAAGAGCAATCAATAAGAACATGGTATGCACTCTCCGAATGTCCAATACAAGAGCAACACATCATTGAATTGACCTTAATACCCCTAGTCTTCAAGACGACAACTACGAGTATCCTACCTTGTGCAGCTCTCCAGATGAAGCTTAACACCTTAATTGGGACTTACTTACTCCATTGTTGTACTGAAGAGCCCAGAATGTTAATATGATGTTTATCAATAACCTTTCTAAGAGAACTAACAATATATGAACCATCACCAGTTAACTTACATCTCCAATGATCTGCTCCATAACCTAGGCGAATGCCAGAGATGTTATTGGTAAGTGCTCTGATAGCAGGCTTTAACCCAAGAGCAGAGGGGCGAGACTTCCAGTTCCATGAGATAGTTGGTCCAGAGATTCTGTTAGCAACTGAACACTTTTTTTTTGGATTTTAATTCGAATAAGGACAAGTATTTTGCTTTTAAGTTGCCTGGACCTAACCATGAATCATACCATAATTGAGTTTCAATTCCATTTTCAACCATCACCTTGAAAACATCGCTAACTTGCACTCCATGCCTTAACAGATCCTTTTTAATTCCTCCAATAGTGTTCCATATCCCAGTGCTATTTTGTCTAGATAAGTATTCAAAGGTCTTGTTGGACAAGTTATGAATCTCATGGATTACTCGAGCCCAAAGAGATTGTTTCTCATTTTTTAGACGTCACCACCATTTCATAGGTAGCCTAATATTTAAGGCTTGTATAGAGTCCACTCCCAATTCCCCATCACTTTTAGCTGCCATGACTTTATCCCGTGAGACCCAGTGTATCTTCTTCCTTTCATCACCCCCACCCCATAAAAAAGTTCTTCTGATTTTCTCCATTTAAGAATCAAATTTGTGAACAAGTATATCAGGATAACCTAGTCATATTACATTGATAAATTGTTAATAATTCAATTTTAATGAGTGTTCATGTGATAGTACTTCCATGGCACCCAATGTAAATTTGATACCAAATACGATCAAGGTCGTATCACAATTAGAAGACTCTATTCCCAATACATGAAAGGACTTCTCACAATTAGAATGCTATTAGGCTATTGGTTGCTTGATATATGTCGTGACAAGCTTTGAACCTGATATTATTTACTCATCGAAAAATTAAGTGGCCTAAACTAATTAATCTATGGGAAATTGAATAATCTAACCACTTTTTTGGCCTAAACTAATTAATCTATGGGAAATTGAATAATCTAACCACTTTTTTGGTTGTTTTAAATATTTTTTTCTCTTTTGGCATCCGAAATGAGTTGTTTCAAACCCGATTTCAAATTCAGGTAAATGGGTAGTAATTTCGGCCCGGTACTTATGGTTCACCTATAAATACCATTAACCCGTTTCAAACTACCCTCGACATCCATTGTTTCAAACTAAACTTCAACATCCCATTCCGGACAGCTCTACAACTGAGAATATCTTCTGATAGCAGTGAAGAAATACAATTTTTCTTTGTAAGTTTCAAATTTGTCTCTAATTAAATGCATTTATTTGTGATTATACGTTAAAAATGTTTATTTTCCAAAATTATATAGGTATTATAGGGTTTTCTGTTAACTTTAATCTTGCTAAGACAATTATTTGATTACATCGACTTATACATATATACTTCATGACACATTGTAATCAAAAACCCTAATTTTTTCTACTCCGGAACGTGTTCGGAATCCGAAAAACAAGTCCGGAACACGAAAATCATGTCCGGAATACAATGAGCTAGGTTCGGAATTTATGGTCTGGAATACTGTACCCGATTTTCGGATTCCGGAACATACATACAAAAATCCTAATTCCGGAATACAATAAAAAAAACCCTAATTCTGGAATACGATCAAAAACCTTAATTCCACTTTGGAATATACATACAAAAATCCCTAACTAATAATTCTTTTAGTTGTAGGACGATAGAACATACATAACGGTTGTTACTATAACCTGCAAACCTGAACTTGGACGTGAAATATGGCGTTCTTACAAAATCGACTAGTTTGTGCAGCGATGTTTAGGCAATCATGTTTTGGTGATTACATGCACATGCCAATGGGTGTTGAATGTCACCCTTTACTATGTCACTATCTTATGTGCAAGGAAGCTACTACTTTTGATCCAATTGACTTAGAAGAGCTTCTATTTCCAGTTGGCGACTATCCGGTTTGCTTTGACAGGAAAGCATTCTTCTTGGTCACTGACATGTAGTTCACGGGTTATTTCCATCCCAGTTCTGATTTTGAAGCATTTAGAGAACGTGTGTTTCCATTTTTGTT